GCCTCTACTGGGGCCTCGAGCTCGTCTTCGTCGTCAGAGTCTAGTCTGACACGCTTCTTGGGTTCGGGTCTTTTGGACCTCGTCATACGAGGACGCGAAAGGGCAATCTGGCCGGCACCTTTGATTTTGGCTAACACGCTCTTTCTTTGGGGTCGGCTGCTACTTTTACCAGTATCGAGATTTTCCTCCCCATCTGCAGACACCTCTGTTGGTGCTACAGAAGCAGTAGAAGCGGTTGGGGTAAGAGGTGTATGATGAGAAGCCGAGTGGTCTTCGGTGCCGCCCTTGTTGGGTGGAAGCGTGGTAGATAGAATGACACCACGGTACGACGGGGGCAGCGCGAGCTCTTGGCCTACAAGTCGACGTCCGCGGAACGTCGCTTGTAGGTTTTGAGCAGCGTGCGCATCTTGGCCTTCGCTCTGGTTACCGACCGGGGCAGCAATAGGGCGGGGGCAAAAGTAGCCACTGATGTTCGCGCCGGTGGCTTTATAAGGGGCGTTGGTGGGACCGAGAGAGAATGGGAGGAGAGAGAGGGTGGGGGATGGGGGTAGCGTGTCCTTTTGCGCTGAGAGGATGAATTTTGTGGACATGGTGGATGAAGAAACAGATAAAGTCCAAGTGAAAACAAAAGACGCGTGAATCTTGGCGTGAATTGATATTATTTGGTGCGACGCGTAGATTGAGTAAGTATTGTTGTAATTAAGCCCCACGTCGTTTCGGACTTCTGTGCATCGAGATGACGCGAACACTTTGGAGTCCTCTTTCATCGACTCACTTTTCTTGCAAACGCCTCGCTCCAACGCCCCGCTCGCCCCGGCCTTCCCCTAACAGCTGCCATGCTCGCGCCAATGGGCCTCCATGCGCAACTCCGCCAGCAACTGTTCAAGAGCGGATTACGGCCGATCGTCCAGGGTGGTGTTCGGGTGCCCAGCCTGCCACTGGGACCCTTGCAGTGTAGAATAGGTATGTGCAATTGGCATGGATACGGGTGCTTCTGTCACTTCCGATGGCTAACGGACAGCGTTATAGCTCCCCAATGCCTGCATACGGCAGCACCACCGAGATTACCACGGCCTACACTACGGAGTCAAGGCTTCCGATACTTGACAGGTAGCTCCTCTCAATCCCCAGCATCCCCCACAACTTCATCATCAACAACCAAAGTATTTCCTTCACAAACTCCGGAGACTACTGCATCAGAAGTCAAACCCCCACGTCCATCAATACTCGCCCGGTTAACGTCCAATGTGTCCTTGACTCCGGAGGAGGGAGAGAGTGGGAAAGACACAGGACACAGCAATATCAGGAAGCTCATGTCACTGGCAAAACCCGAGCAGAAAGACTTGACTGTAGCTATTGGTCTGGTATGTCTATCATGGCTGTTTGTCGTCAAGCCAGTGCTGACTGAGCTTTGTAGCTTCTTGTCTCTAGTGCTGTATCCATGCTGGTCCCTCTGACTATCGGTAAATTGATTGACTTTTTCTCTACCCACGCTGTACGCCAATCCATCGAGACCTCATTTGCCTCTGACTGATCTGAACAGTCTACGTTCCTCGGACTGTCCTTTCCCGTCGCAGCTGGTTTACTCGCGGTCACGTTCTGTGTCGGTGCTGCTGCCAATGCCGGGCGAGCTATCATCATGAGGACAAGTGGTCAACGCATTATCGCTCGTATCAGGTGAGTTTGTGTCTGTACTTCATATACCCGTGCTCATCGTGCTCTTAGAAATCAGGCCTACTTTGCGACCCTTCGCCAAGAGCCCGAATTCGCTGACCGCTCTGCCGGTGACATTGTCTCGCGTCTCAGTGTCGATACCAATATCCTCGGAGACTCTGTCACGAGCAACCTTTCTGATGGTCTCCGTGCCCTCGTCTCTGCCACTGCCGGTGTTGCCGCCATGTTCTGGATCTCTGCCAAACTGACTTTTGTCATGCTTTGTGTGGTACCCCCCGTCTCACTGGGAGCAGTCTTCTACGGCCGATACCTTCGCAAGCTTTCCAACAAGACTCAGGAGGCTGTCGGTGACATGTCAAAGATTGCCGAGGAAAAGCTCAACGCGTTCAAGACTGTGGCCGCTTATAATTCGCAATCTCTGGAGGCGAATCTGTTTGCGGGCAAAGTCGATAGCATTTTCCAGTTGGCAAAGAAGGAGGCATACATGACGGGTATCTTCTGGGGTCTGACGGGATTGACGGGTAATTTGGCCATGCTGTGCCTCTTGGGTTATGGTGAGTCTTTGTATCGTACGAAGTGGACCCCGCTCATAGTATGTAGGCGGTCACTTGGTATCCATCGCCGAAATCACTGTCGGAGACTTGACATCCCTCTTGATGTACAGTGCCTACGTCGGTGGCTCCGTCTCTGGCCTCACCGGATTCTTTACAGGCCTCATGCGCGGTGTCGGTGCAGGCGGCCGTGTGTTCTGGCTTCTCGACCGTCAATCCCGCATTCCCCTCGACGTCGGTACCCGTCTTCCTCTCACCCGTAATGGACCAATCGTTTTCGAGAACGTCAAGTTCCGTTACCCCTCCAGGAAGGAAGTGCAGGTCTTGAAGGGCATCGATATGACTGTCGAGCCGGGGACGAGTGTGGCGCTCGTGGGGTCCAGTGGTAGTGGAAAGAGTTCCATTCAGGCGTTGATCAGTCGATTCTACGATCCTGAAGAGGGACGCATCACCTTTGATGGGACTGGTAAGCAAAAGTCTTTGTTAGAGGGACATCACTGATGAGGACGTAGATATCAAAGAATTCACTCCCGAGTCATGGCGGTCGAGAATTGGTGTCGTCTTCCAAGACCCTATCCTCTTTGCTGGCACGGTGCACGAAAACATTGCCTATGGTTCGCCCGATATCAGCAGAGAAGATGTAGAGGAAGCCGCTCGAGCGGCCAATTGTGATTTCATCTGGAGCCTTCCTGATGGTTTCGACACTATGAGTGAGTTCAACCAAGCACGATTGGAAGATAGGCGCTGATATGCCTTCAGTTGGAAAAGGTAGCTTGAGTGGTGGACAGAGACAGAGGATCAGTATCGCCCGAGCGCTCGTGAGGAACCCCTCAATATTGCTTCTCGACGAAGGTTCGTCTCTTTTATACGTCCTCGGCTTCGTACTGACAGCTACGCAGCTACCTCCGCGCTCGACAGTGCCTCTGAAAACGCAGTCAACGCTGCCATTGACGACATCATTCGCCACCGAAACATCACCGTCATTCTCGCTGCCCATCGATTGTCTAGTATCGCCCGAGCAGAGAAGATTGTGGTGCTCGAGAATGGTGTCATTTCCGAAACTGGGCGATATGATGTTCTGGTGAGTTACATGTCCGCGCATGGTTCGGTGCTGATGTCGATATAGTCGAGGAAGGAAGGGAGTCGGTTCAGGACTCTTATGGCTGCTCAGCTTTTGGTGGAGAAAAACTCGGAGGCGATCCCCGAGCAAGAAGAGAGCGAGGAAAAGTCAGAGCTGGAGGAAGCTGTGGTCGTGGAGAAGCGGGAGTGATAGAGTGAGAGACCTTTATATTGTTGGAAATATCTGTTGGGACATACTACTTCATTGGCATCGAATGCATTTACAGCATAACAATAAACATAAGTGCCTGTCTACACAAGGGGAAGCTCAATACTTGAAGTTGCCGCTGACCTTGCCCAACAAAAAGTCCCCATACACCACTTCTTCCACCGGCTTCGCCTCTCGCCCTTCCTTTGCAATCTTTCTCTTTGCGGCCTCCAGGACTTTGACTCTGCAATCAAAGTGGGGCTCAAAGAAGAATGGCACTGATACCCGATACGACGGGGACTTGTGGACAACCCGATGCAGCGTAGCAGGATAAAGGCCACCTGTCCAGATCTGCCACATTTCTCCAATGTTGACTACCAAGCAGCCCGGGAGAGGATTGGCAGAGAGCCATTCTCCAGATTTGGAAAGAACTTGGAGCGAGTCGGGGATGGGGTCGGCGTGGAGGAGTCTGTGGTCGGGTCAGTGGTGTTTGAGATGTGGGAGGGGTCGTACGTAAGGCAGCCGTAATCTTTATGCTCACCACACGATATTCCATCCATACCCTCTGGAAGTGGAGGGTACCCTGCACTCATATTGTAAGTGTATGACCTCGGACCCTTCGAGCAGCTCACCGATGACTCTCATCACCCAAAAGCTATCATCGACACACCCCTTCAGCTCTTTCCACTCGGCCTCGTCCATATCCAGCCCGTCAGCCATCGCGTGCATGACGGCCAGTCCAATGACTTTCATCTTGTTGATCCATTCCTCCATTCTGGGCTTGAAGGATGGTGGATTGGTGGGCCATTGGTTCGGGCCTTCGAGGGGGCGGAGGGCCAAGCCATTGTTGGATGAAGTTGCGGGGTAAGGGCTCGGAGCGTAAAGGTCTAGACCCTCATGGTGGTCTGCCTTCCCCTGTGTCACGTTTTGATGGAGCTTTTGATACCCTGTCCGCCAGATCAACGCCATCCCATTACACTCCTCAAGACTCACCCCGCACATTATCACTCTCTTCCAGCCTTATCCGCATCTTCTCCTCTTCCGGCCTATGAAAGAATTCACGCCCCAGTTCCAATACCTCCTTCATTTCGTGATCCGAGAGAAAGTCATCTGGGACACGAATGTAGAAGAAGCCTATATCGCGACATGCTTCATGGATAGCCTTGGCTGTTGCAGCTTTGGCCGAGACTTGAGCGGGGCCGGAAGAGGTTGAGAGATAAGGGGCTGGGTCTATGATGGGCAGAGCAGGAGACATGGTGCTCATGAATGCATACATCAGAAAAGCACGTTGCATGTGCTGCTATTATACACATCTGGTGGGCGTTCCGCAAGCGCTGCAGATAAGACTTAAGAGGGCTTGCGTCGGGCCGTTATCCCGGTGCGGGCATGTCCGGCCGGTGAGTAACCGCGGGAGCAATTGCCGGGCTGCACTGACGTCAGGTGGTCTCTCGTCGTGATCAACCTCAATTGCATCCCTTTTTCTCATCCGTACTTGTACAATCACCAACATGGAAGGAGTGGGTCCATACCAGTACTAGGTGGCGCAGTGCTGACAAAGAGTAGCAAATCGACAACGCTAAGAAGTTCCTCAACAGCGACGAGGGCAAGGGTGTCAAGGAGCAGCTCTTTGGTATGTTGCACCGTCCCGCACCCCATTCCGACGGTCAGCTGACTAGAGAGATACAGGCGGGTCCAGCGGCAACGATCAAAACGCCTCTTACGATGCCCAAGGCAACAAGGGCGCTGAAGGCCAATTCGGCCAGCAGGGCCAATTTGGTGCTGTCACCGGCGGCGGCTTTGGCGGCGGGCTCGCCAAGAATGCTCAGGGCGAGCACACCAACCAGGGCCAGAGGGACAGTCCTTACGAGGGTATCCACAATGACGACAGTAAGTAGAGTATCCCAATATCACCCGGATGTCTCTACCGGCGCAAGACCGAAGTGCGAAAGACGGCGGGGAGGCTGTTGTATATGAAAGATGGAAGGAGGTTGTAATACACATGTAGATGCAGGTTGTTGATATTGTCTTGTGTAGGTACCTCCAGTGGTGGCTACGGTCAGAACGCCCAGGGCGGCGCCTTCTCCAGGCAAAATCAGCTTGGCGCGGACAACCACAACAACTACAACCCAGGAGGTGTATCGGACGACAATGAGGGCAGCAAGACGGGGTACAGTACCCCTGGCTACAGGAGGGAAGACGAAGATGAGGAGCAGCTCCGGGCTCGGTAGGTATATTGCTACCATTGGTTCACGAGCTAATGGTTGTGTAGGAACCAAAACGTGTATGGCCAACAGTCGGATGAACGTGGGAGCAAAGACAATGACTATCACGAGATTTGATGTGATAGCACAAGAAGTGGTGTAAAGGTTGTATGAAGCTTCAAAATGCGTATCACAATATCGATGAATTGTATGCCTCAAAATGATACTATAGATACAATAGCTGCATATGACACAGTAGATACAACCACCTATGCTCAATCTTGCTCCCACTTGTCCCATCTACCTTTCTTTAGCCACTCGGCCCTCACTTGTTCTTGCTCCAGCGCGCCCTTCTCGTCATATACGCTCTTCCCCCTCAGCATCCGGTTTCTCGCCTCGGCCGCAGTCTTGAGCGCCTTCTTATCGCTCGCCTCTAGCCTCAGCCGCGTATATTGCGCTTGACTCAATGCCCCCGGGTCACCAGACGTATGCCGGACGACATCTTGTATGACATCTTCTGGCAGGTCGAGAAGGCGGAAAGCGTTATAAGCTTCGGGATTCGGAGCTGAGAATGCAGAGACGACGTTTCGCGCTGTTTCGGCGTCGGAGAGCGGGCGAGCATTCAGGATGATTCTAGCCGGAGCAATCATACGAGAAGCCGCGCTCCGTACCCTCTTTGTCAAAAGCCGATTGCGCTTCAGGATCTCTGGCAGGCGGACATGCACTTGGTGCTCCAGCACGTTGGCCTCGTCTTTTGTCTTGACCGCCTGATCTGGAGCGTCGGAGGGTGGTGAGGCATTGGCCAGCAAGCCAGCTTCGATAAGAGAAAAGTTGCTTTCCTCTATAGCATCGATTATCTGGGTGACACCCGCGCCGCCGAGTTGGTTGCCATGTAGCAGCAAGTGGGTGATATTCCGAGAACGAGGCGAGCCGATAAAGTCGGCCAGTATGGGGGCCATAGATGGAGGAAGGCGACAAGCTGCCAGATGGAGCTCGCGCAGATGGGGCGAGTCCAGTAGCCTGAGCAGCTTTGTCAATCCCTCAGTGCTGATATTGGTATTGTTTGTCAGGCTCAGCATATCCAACCTGGACATGTTGATAGACAGCGCTATACTCTCCACCGCCTTCTCCAACCTGATCTCGTTCCCTTGCATATACACCGCCCGCAGGAACCCATCTTTCTTCGCATAGCTCAGCACACAGTCTAACGCTTCATCCTCTGCGTCCGTAGTGGCAAAGTTGATCTCTTTCAGCCCCCAAATGCCGAGCCCGAGCTCTGGGGAGGAGTGGCGCGCGCGCAGAGTGGTGAGGCCTTTGAACAGGATGGTTATGCCGGCGAGGCCGAGGGGGTTACGGGAGACGTTTATGCGGTGTATCTGGCGGGTGATCTGGGGCAGGATCCGGAGGGCTGGATCGAGTGAGCTGGGAGCTGAAGATGGGCAGAGGAGACACGTACCGCCTTCTTCGCCTACGAATCCGTGGTCCGGGAGATAGACGAGGTCTGTTTGGGAGTGCGGTACCATAGCCATGGTGGATGATGTATGAATGATAGAGATTGAACGCTCCATTCCATTCTGGTAAGTGACATGAAGTGGAGGCGGCGGACGAAGCCGACGGCGATGTATGTATGGCATGTTGTTGATTCGCTGGTCATCTTGGTGTTAGGCTGTCGCATACATCCTGAAGAGCATCATTGGCCTCGCACCAACCATGAGCAGTAAACTAATCCCAGTGGTCATTCCGTATTCTGATCTGGCGCATCCCCAAGATCCATCCCTTCGCGAACGCCTCCGACAAGCCCTCGGATCGCACAGAGGTGCTTTAGGGATCGTTGTCATATCAGGTATATTCATCAGAGTCTACTAACTGATTCCAAAGTGCTTACAATGAATACCAAATCCATCAGAGCTACCTGGAGACTTCCCAGCACTACGTGAAAAGCTTTTTCGACTAGCCCAAGAACTCGCGACGCTACCAGTCCATGAAAAGCAAAAGTTGGAAAGACCAGATACGTCCTACATGTTCGGATGGTCCCATGGGAAGGAAGTTATGAATGGCGTAAGATAATTTGACTTCATCCTCGTACGAAGCACTAATGACCAGAACAGCGTCCAGATACCCAAAAAGGCTCCTACTACGCCAACCCCCTACTGGATCAACCGGACGTCTCAGAACAGTTGCGACAAGACCACCCCGAGTATTATGCTGGGAATGTCTGGCCCAACGGTATACAGCGGCTGGAAGAGTTTGAGGAAACGTTCAAAAGGTAGGTCTAGGGTTACACGACTGCCAAGTGAGCTCAACGGCGACAGTCTCGGTTGCATAATCTTTGAAGCTGGCCTCCTGCTCGCAAAGGCATGTGACGAGTTTGGTGAGTTTTCTGTGTCTTCACAAGCGCAATCTAATATCAAAGTAGTCGAGCCCTCGGATAGACACGGAACAATATCGTCTCTGATACAACATTCCAAATCCAACAAAGCGCGGCTCTTGCATTACTATCCTCAAGATCAAAAAGTCGCGTCTGATTCCCAATCGACTTTGGGCAACGACGCACTCTGCGGTACACATCTGGATCATTCCCTCCTTACGGGTTTATGTAAGTGCAGCCTAGCATCCAAATCATACGCTGATTACATACAGGCTCTGCAATGTATCTAGACGCTGCAGATCCATCAAAGGTCGTGCCCAGCCCATCCGACACAACTGGTCTTTGGATATATCCACGTGAAAGCGATACTGCAGTCAAAGTCTCCATCCCGGAACAATGTCTCGGTGAGCTATACAAGATTGGTCACTTGGCGCCTTCACTCACCGGGTCCGGGGGTGCTAGCATTCCAAACGGGTGAGGCGCTGTCTCTGCTCACATCCCAGCGTTTAGCAGCGACACCCCATTTTGTTTCCGGTAGTACTGCCTCGACTACTCCCGTGTCACGCGAAACGTTTGCATTCTTTCTACAGCCTGACGTAGACGATGTCATAGGAGAAGATGAAGAGACGTTCGGGGCGTTCACAAAGAGGGTATTGGGCAGACATTACCAAGGAGACGTCGCTGCGGAAGCTGAAGATTGAGGGCTAGGGCTTGGATAGATGTCATTTATGTGTATCATATGGGCTTTAGTGATCCTGCCATGCTCCAAATGACGCCACATGATGCTCTGGGCTCGCAGGCAGAGCCCCTGTGCGTAAAGAGTCACTCAACAGTGCAACAATAAAGATCCCATCTTTGTTATGTAACAGCCACGTGGTACCGCTGCGTTGTTACGCTGCGTCGCGTCGACTATCTTTGGCGAGTATATTCACAGAACTCGAGTCCTCCTCATCCTCTCTCTGTGCCCACGCCCGCCGCCTCTTGTCACGAATGTCTGCGTCCTACACCATCGACATGCCCTCAATCGCTGCCGCAACCGCCCCCTCCCGTACGTACCGCTGTCTTCCTTTCTCTTGTATCGTTCGGATTATGCTCATCTCTAATGCGCCTTTCCCTACAATTCCATCTCGTATCGAATGTCTTCTTCCACTGTCCCCCACCTATCATCTGCCAAGTACAACGATACAGCTACCGACAAGTACTCCGTCATCCTCCCAACTTATAACGAACGCAAGAACTTGCCGGTCATCGTTTGGCTTTTGGCGCGTACCTTTGAGTCTGCGTGAGTCTCTCTCAGAAGCTTTGCATTCAAGTCTTGACTGAAACATATCGCACCCTGTTCGTAGCTCGATCAATTGGGAAGTCATTGTCGTTGATGATGCCTCGCCGGATGGCACTCAAGAAGTAGCCAGGCAGCTCGCCGGGATTTATGGAGAGGACAAGGTTGTCTTGAAACCTCGAGCGGGCAAGCTGGGTCTTGGGCAAGTTTTTTTCATACATTCTCGCCGTCGTTGCTGACTCGAGTCGACAGAACGGCGTATGTCCATGGTCTCAACTTTTGTACTGGCAACTTTGTCATCATCATGGACGCCGACTTTTCTCACCATGTACGCCTGATAGATCTCTGTATATCTCAAGCTAATGAATCTCGCAGCCCAAATTCATCGTCGAGTTTATCAAGCAAGTCACACGAACGCCAACTTGTACACCACTAATCCAAATGTAGACTCCAAAAACTCCACAACCTCGACATTGTCACCGGCACCCGATACTCTGACCATGCCTCTCCCAAACCCACTGCCCAGTCTCCTTCTATAGGTCTTGGCCCCGGTGGTGTGCACGGATGGGACTTGAAGAGGAAACTGGTGTCGAGAGGCGCCAACTATCTGGCAGACACCGTCTTGACGCCTGGCGTCAGTGACTTGACTGGGTCTTTCAGGTGAGTTGTCATAAAGGCGATTACGCTGGCTAATTTTTGCAGACTGTACCGCGTACATGTCATCAAGGACATCATCTCCCGATGTACCTCTAAAGGCTACGTCTTCCAGATGGAAATTATCGTCCGCGCCCGTGCCCTGGGCTATACCGTTGGCGAAGTGCCCATCACATTTGTCGACAGGATCTACGGTGAGAGCAAGCTGAGTGGAAATGAGATTGTAGGGTACGCCAAGGGTGTCGCGAGCCTCTGGTGGTATGTTTAGGTTTAGGTGGTGGGCGACGGGCTGTTGTAACACTGCGAGGAGATGTATGATAGAAGCGCTACAATGCATTACAAGTTATGGACATGACGCGTCGTTTCTCGTTATACTATACAATCGTTATTTCACATCTATCACCCTTGGGCTTTCCAGCACTCTCTCCAACTCTGTGCCGTCGCGTTCAGTCACACTCGCCGGTCCTTGCCCTTGGGCTACGGCGGCAGCGGCAGCCCCCCTCCAGCTCCAGCCACTCTCATTGCTCTCCCAGCTCCCCTTGCGCCTCACAGCACGCACGCTTGCATCGCCATCCGCCCTTCCATCAAACCCTCCACTCGGCCCTGCGCCCCCGATACCCCTCAGTCCTCTCAGAGACATGCTGATGCTAGGGGCATGGAGTGACAGGTGGCCGCCGCCAGTGCCCAGCGAATGAGCGTAGGAAGTAGATGTCCGGACTGATAATGGCCGGTCCCCAGTCGCAGGATAGGGCGGAGATAGAGGGGCAGAGGTCGGTTCGGCCCAGGTTATTATACTGGGGGAAGTCACCAAGCTCGAAGGCCTATCGCTTCTTCTTTGACCGGGTGGGGGGGGGAGAGCAAATGAGGAAGACGCCAGGGTCAGGGTAGACGCGTTCGGATCTGGAGACGATGACGGGTGAGGATTGTAGCTAGGGTGATGGGGAGTGTGGGGGGGGGCGTGGACCAGCGGGTCGTTGGGTATTGGGGGCGGCTGAGGCGAGACGGGGGGTGATATGATTGGGAATACAGGCGTCGCTGTACAGAGTCAGACGATACCAATCATGCTTTTCAATCGACTTACTGTGCGAGGCCGTGCTCGGGGCAGCGGGAGGAATTGAGGCATGGGCAATATGGGCCACTCCTAGACCCGAGTCATAGCTGATACAGGTAGTGGGCTTTGTGCTGGTAGAACCGTCCCGACTGATCCTTCTCCGCCCTACCCTCCTTCCGCTGCTCTCGTCACCATCCTCGGCATCGCCATCTTCATTGTCTCGCCCATCCAAATCGGCTCCATCAGATGAAGCACTGTACAGGGTACTGGCTCGTAGATGCTTGTGATAGACTACCGAAGTCGAGCGCGAGAGGAAGGAAGATTGGGTGGGTGATCCACGGGCAGAGGGTGGGAAAGGGCGGAGTGAAGCATCGTCATCTGCTGGCCAGTCACTACCCCCATGCCCGGAGACGGCGGAGTAATGAGTATCGCGCTCAAAAGGCGCACTCCTGCTAGACCGCCTGCTGTAGTTGCCGCCTTCCTCCTCCGTCTCTCGCATACTTCCTTCTCCGCTGAGGCTTACTGTACCGCTAAACATGCTCATGCCTGTCGTATCCTCTGCACCTGCATCCAGATGTCTGTTGTGCCGGTTGTGGCCGGCAGCGAGAGAGAGTGGTAGCGATGGGTATGGATTGTTGGCTTCGCGTCGGCGGTCACGCTCGACAGTGTTGGCAGCGCTGTCGAGAGAGAAGGACACGGAGGGAAGTGTGTCAGCACGTGTCATGGGTGGCATGCTGATCTCCCTCTTCCGCTGTGAATCATGGCTCGCGGTATTGCTCAGCCCCAGTCCTCGCGCTCTCGGCATGCTCGCGAGGCGACTCCGTTTCTCTCTGCGCTCGCCCGCCGCATACTGCGTACTGTGGGAGGATATTGTAGTCCTCCTCGCCGTTGTGAGCTTTCGGGTGATCCAATCAAATATTGGCTTTTTCTCTCGTGCGTGCCCGTCGGGCCGCCAAGCGGCATGGGAAGGTGTACGGCTGGTGGATGGGTGTGGGTGTGGATGTGGATGTGAGTGAGCATCTGCATAGGCTTCTGCCAGCGTTCGCCCGTACGGACTGGATGGTACGGGCGGGGGCACCTGGCCCCTTGGGTGGTCCGGCGAGCGAGGCGGGCTGGGGGCTGACGAGGGGTGCTGGCCGGGAGGGGCGAGGGGGCGAGGGACGCGGCGAGGGGGTTTCTGGCGGGTGTCTGTGGGTGGGCGTTGGGTGTTGGGTGGCGGTGGCAGCTGTGGGGGGTTCTGCTTTGGGGAGATGGGCATGCTGGCAGAGAGCGAGATGTTTTGCCACTATTACAACATCGGCAGCGCGAAGAGAGCCCTCCCGAGTGTTTTGCCTCCGTCGTCGGCTCAACAACACGCCTCGGCGGCGAGAGCCGCTGAAGGGCGCCTCCCTGATAGGAGGGGCTTATTCGAAGAGTATGGCGAGTTTGGTAAACCATTTCGCCGCTCCCATGTCGCCGCTGAGGGGCTTTGCTGCGCCTAGTGTATCAGCTCAAATGAAGGGAGAGCCCCTCGATCACTGACATCCCAGTATCTTTATTGACGGAGCCAAGTATCTGTGACACGGAGGCTCGGTCTCCCCGAGATCGCGTCGGCGATCTCATGTTTCTACGCGTCGACGTGACTCTCTTCCTGCTCTCTTGGACACTATACACTGACATCCGGCTTGCAGCATGCGCGTGTTGAATGACTGAGCGGCTGCCCCGCCACGTCCGTCTGTAATGACGCGCCGGGGTGATAAATGAGCTGTGCGTGGTGATGGGAACTGGTTGTGATGGTAACCCTGTTCGCGCATTCCTGATTGCCCCATCCGGCGGGAACCCTGCCCAAAGGACCCCCCTCCCTTTCCATGCAGGATAACCAGGACGTCGACGAAAACTTCCTCTTGGGGCGACGAGGATGAGCCATGGCGGGCAGGGACCCGTGCGTCTGCTGTATCACTCATTTGCACTACTCATCTGCATCCTACTTGATCTCCACGGCCCTCTGCTCACTAATACTCACTTATAGTATAGTGCTAACCCCAAAGTCCCGCTGGCCAAGTGATTCATTTTCAACCACCCTTCCTTCTCCATTGTCTCTCAAACAATGGAGTCCTCCCAGCTGCCCCCTCAAAACCCCCACCCCGCCCCGAACAATGGCCGCTTCACCATCGAGCCCAAGCACCTTGAAACCCTCGCCCGGCTCGCATTGTCTTCCGGCATCAACCCCTTCGCCAGGCCACACATGAACAACCCAGACCCCACCAACGAGTACATGTATCAAGTGCCCCACGGCCAGGCGAACCGGAAAAGCATGTCTGAGGGGAGACGCCCAGGGGGGGACAAGTATGCAGCGCCGCTAGAGTGAGTTTGTTTCGCCATTGTTCTCGCCGCGCGCCGTGTCAGAGACAATGGGGGCAGCCTTGTGCCTCACGTCCTCACTTGTGTGCGCGCATCACTTCCTACCCCATTGTCCCCTCTGTACTTGGCCTGGTGGCATCAATTGCATCTCTCTTTTGCATCTATCACTGACACACTCTAGCCTCGACGCACTCACCAATCGTCTCGAGAGCCTCAACGATCGTCTCGACGCGTTACAACCACAGAGTTACTCTCATTATCAGCAAGCCAACCCCCAGGTCCCATTTGTCCCGCCCGGAACAGACCATATTCCTACCCACAAGACCCAGCCCTCTCCCAACCTCCCCGCCAAGCCCCCACCCACCGAAGCAGAGCCCCAGGCCTACTCTGCTGCCCCCAGAACCAACGTCTCTACCTCGTTCCTCGATCCCAACGCTCCCGACCCCGACCAGGAATACCCAACCTACCCTTCTGTCACTGAACTTGCTCCGTTCGACTCTGTCAGCATGTATCGTTCGGCCGACGAGCCTTCGACTACGTCTGGCCCCACCCTTCGAAGGGGAGGCACCAATATAGATGGCCAAGAAGAATATTACCGAGAGACGGGAGGCTATGAACGCGCAGACGATAGGTGGTCCCAGTCCCAGTGGTCCAATGACAATATTACTCAAGGGTCTCCCCATACCGCGAGGAGATTTGAGGAAGAGATGACAATCGGCCCGACCAGTATTCGAACCCGCGGCGACCTGTAAGTGGCGCCCTCAACATGCCTCCCTGTACTGACTGTTTCATAAAGTGGCCGTGACATGTACGAGATGCGCAACCGCCTCCTCGACGCCGAAGCTCACCGCGACCAAGCAACCATGACGACCATCCGCCGCCAGATCTCTGAGGCAGAAGCGCTTGCCAAGGCCAGCGCCCGTCTTGAAGCTGCAGAAAAGCAGTTGAGAGAGCTTCAAGCCAAGCTTATCGCCGAGCAGGTGGCGAGGACGCAGATTGAGCAGGAGGCGGGTCTCAGAAGCGACGAGGTTAAGAACTATCAGAACGAGTGGGCGAGCGCCGTGCGTGCATTGAAGCGCGCCCGGGAAGAGGGCAGAAAGACGGATGAAGAGAAGAAACGTGTACAGCGTTGTTTCGAAGAGGCGAGGGACAAGTGAGTTTAGCACCCTTTCCCCAAACACACTCACTGACGATGGGTAGATTGTGGAAGTACCACGAAGCCCTCCGTGTCCGCGAAGCCAGAGCCCAAGGCAAAGAAGAAGGTCGCGCTGAAGCCTGGCAAGAAGCTGAGCGATGGATGGGTGGCGCACCGCCTATCCCTGGTATCGACCCGATCGCTTCTGTGCCCGGCGCTGTACTTCATCAAACGCCGATGGCCAATCTGGCCAATCTGTTGTCGCCGGCACTTAAATCTCCCACCGCCAACAACTTTCAAGGCGGCCAGCCGCATGGCCAGCAGCAACAATTCCCACCCCAGCAGCAACAGCAGCAGGCTGCCCAGCCTCCCGCTCCTCCCATGGAAAACATTGCTCAGGTCATGGAGTACTTTGCTCGAAATCCATCTGCTTTTCCCCAGTTCCAACAGTTTAGCAATGGCAGTGGGAGCTACCCGAACCAAGCTACGTCTCCCCAGCAGCAATATGCTTCTCAAGCTCCCCCCAACGGTACTCAGCAATACGCGTCTCAGCAGGGTATGCAGCCTTATCCTCAGCAGCACCAGGGCCAAGGCCAAGGAACTGCTGCCCAGTTCTTGGGAAAGGCGCCTACCCCGCCTCAGGCTCAAGCATTGCATCAGCAAGGCTTCCCTCCGGGTCAGCAGCCTCCCCAGCTAAACTCAACCCGATCTGCCGCTCAGCAGCTCCCGCGTAACAACGCCCCGACAGCCATCTCCACCGCCGTCCACGCTCCCATGCCAGAGTACTCTGTCAACCCCCACGTGGCAGATAGCTACCTGGACAAGGTCGAGCATGATCCCGAGCTCAAGAGGATGATGTCTGGCGCAAGGAGCAAGACTGTACATACCTCGGCTGTACCGTCGTCTGATGGGCGATATGGCCTTCAGCCGCCTTCCGCCTCTCGCTCGCACTTTGATGATAGCATGTCCAACCTCGATAAACCGCTCCCGCCTGTCTCAATGGCCAACTCAAAAGTCTCGCGTGCACAGAGTACAAGGGGTCCGACAAGGGGACCGAGTACGGTGGGTAGCAGGCTCCCGAATAGGAGGATGAGCTTGTCGGATAGTGGTCAAAACTACGAACATCATCATCAACAACCAATGTCTCAGATCCCCGATGGGGACAGGTACCCCGTCTTCCCTCTTCCCGGGCAGAACATTCAAGGTGGACGAAAGGGATATGGTCAGACAGAGTACGTGTCGCTCTGCTTTCTAATTTCAGATGCTGATGAATGTATAGGTCTCGAGACGCGTCCGATTACCAGTCGAACAACACTGACCGCCTCAAGCGTGACCCTTCGATGTCTACGTGTAGCCGTATGGCTGATGCTCTACGAGGTGATACGGAGATTGAGCAGGGGATTCCAGAGGAAGACGAGAGGCAGTACAATCATCAAGGACAGGTGAGTCGCCTTCTAATTTTGCTCAGTGCACAAGCTCATACAGATCAGAGTCCTCCCCCTATGCAGATGCAGAATGGCGCAATGAGACCCCCTCCCTCCGGCCACCAGCGTTCTCAGTCGGGCCCTTCTAGACCGCCTCCTTCTATGCCCAACATGAGGCACCGCATCAATGTGAGTAGACCAGTGACACATCCTTCTAAGCTGACATCGTCTAGACTGTCATGCCCCAGCCTCTGAGCAGTCACCAGCCTCGGGCAAGATCCGACTTTGGTCCGGGGGAGCAGCCCAAGTCTATTGCTGCGCTCTACCACGACCGAGATTTCGACCCCGCTGCCCGCGCCAACGACCGTATGTCTCCCCCAGAATCGCAATACCACCCTCCTCGCTCGCACGAGATGTATGTCCCACCCCAGCTCGCGCCTCGTGCCGTGAGCGGTGGAGTCGAGGACGTGCAAGGGCCAAAGACAAGTGCGCTTGGGTTGAGTCTGGGTGGTGCGGCTAGTGAGAGAGCCGGTTCGGCTGACGATTCAAGCCGTATGAGAGCCCCAACTGTACGTGCCAAGCGGACGTCATGGTATTCGTAGTGGCTTACCAAGCCCTGCTTCTCATCCGACTATCACCACATCATCTACAGATCACTGTGCAACCCCCAGTACGTGCAAAGTTCAGAGATGTCCTTCAACATTGATTCAAGATCAAGAACCCAAGCTAATCAAGATACCTTCATAAACTTGTCTATACGCCTTCTATTCTGTACCATCAGTCTTCCCGCTCTCGCTCCAACAATCCTGTTTCAACATTATACCCTTCGTCGCCTGAAGCCCAACAGCCTCCTGACAGTACCCACCCTGGCCCTATCAGACTCGACACTCCTCCTGGTGAACACCACGACAACGTGATTGAATTCGCCCAATCTCCTTCCCATGTCTCATTCCGTCACCACTCTGCCGACGCTCGTCAGCCTCACGAATACCCTCTACCTCCTTCCAGGAGCGCCGCCCCCACTGCCTACTCTCGCGCTCCCAGTAGCCGATCTCATGCTCCTTCCCGGTCCCAGCCTCAGACACCCCACCAGCACCTCCAGCCTCACGAGATCCCTCTGCCCGGGTCGCGAAGCTTGGCGCCGACAGCGTATAGTCGTACACCAGATGATACCCCTCCCGACTCGGCAGATGTAAAGACAATCGACTTTGCGATGCGACAGCCTCTGCCAAGTGGCAAGGGCACCGCGTATGATACCAGGACCACCGTCTCTGTGAGTTGCCCATCACCCTCATATCGCTTTTCGACTGACGTGGTCACCAGGATGAGCCGGAGCCCCATTTTGCAAAGACGTCTCGTGCATCTTCTCGGCAAGCTCGACGCAAACCGTCTCCTTCCAACGGCGGACAGAGCCACAGGGGAAATGGAAGCAATGCCGGCAACCGCGCTTTCACTGACCCAAGGATGTACCCTCTCCCGTCTAGCAAATCTCGAGGAAAGGCTTCTAGTGAGTAGCGCGATAAGTAGAGCGTGATATCTGCTGACTTCTATACGTCGTAGCCTATGCTGCTTCCGTGGCACCCATCGAAGAGCTCACAGAGCCAGAAAGTGTCTCTTTGCAAAAGCAGAGTCGGGAGCCGTATATCGTTGTATAGTATCAACAAGTTTGAATAATCTCGGCTGTGAATAGCTGGTAATTTTGCAGTACCTGATGTACAGTACGTAGTTGTTCACAAGGGAGTAAGAAACATGTATCTCGGTAATGTTTACTAATCTCAGCGCCCATAAGATATCATGATAACCTGCATTATGACCATCCGTAAAATATAACATTGAAAGTAGAGGGATTGCAGTCTATAGGGGATTCACGGACTGACGGCGACAGAGCAAGCCCTGCCCGGCAGAACGCGTCACCATCGTCCCCTCCGCGTGACATGATGTTATAAACTTCCGCTATCACACAGACCCTACAGCTGCAGACGGCTTGGGTCTGCGATACATTACAACGAGCATGGCGATGCACAAAACAATCCAGCCCATTTGGAAGTAGTACGATATTTGGAGATTTCGGAAATCCTCCAAACCGCCTGGATGAATGGTGAGGAATGAGGCTTGTATGGCAATGGCTATCGCACAACCGATCTACACATTGCTGGTTAGTTCGTGCGGGTATTCGGTAGTAAAACACCTTACCTGTAATGCTACCTGAACAATGGCCGAAGCCGTACCAGCCATCTGATGAGGCACGCTCATAATAACCAGTAGACTTGCACAAGGAATGAGCAGGGCATCCTTATGACTGAAACCCCAACTCACTTTACAGAGGTCACGGCACAAGAGTTGGAGAAGCTGCCGATCATGAAAGCCGGCATGACAAACGCAAAGTACCATTTTCCAATCCTGCCATCCGAAGCGGTGAACAGTGAGAGGGCGACGATAGTGCCCGTCAAGCCAGCGATCAATAGAAACCGGAGGTTGATCCGAGGAAGAAACTTTCTGTTGGATATCAGCCGATGATTGCAATGATTGTGGAGGAGTGTGTTCACGGAAGGATCAGGGCAGGCATGAAGGCTGCGATCCCCGAAGGAAGAGCTCGCAAGGCCGCTGACATGGTTGACTCATGGTTGACCGACTCCCAGCGTTCAATATACGGAAGCTGTACAATCTACGGGTTTCATGTCAGCATGACGTTTATGGCCGATACTATGACTCACGATCCAGTAGGCCAACGGCTCCAGTGCGACAATCGCAATTAGAGAAACATTGCCAGTCTTCCAAATCGAGCTGGGAATCATGGCCATGCCCTTTTCGCGCCGGCTTTCCCACAGAAAGAAGGCGATCAACAATGGCCACGATAGCAGGAATGGAACGAGGAACTCTGGTGACGAGTAGGCTCTGGAAGACGACATTAGAGTAGTGTTGGAAGAGGCCAAAGTCAGTGATAGATCGAGCAGGAGAATGGAGGCAAGCAACATGGCAACTGCGGGAAGATCCAGCTTGCGGACGATATGTGACAAGCGCGACATGGGAGCAGATTCTTTCTCCAGGGACGCTGTGTCGAAAGACGAGGGTGTGTTGTACAGTGTGCCTTGCGTATTAGGTGATAGCTTGTGGGTTATTGCGCTCTTTCGGACCTTTTATCAGCCCTTGCTATCGACATAGATGCCTGGGAACGGAGCTTACGAGAGGTAACAATATTGCAGCCGAGAAGCGAAAGAACCATCTCCACCCCGCCAACTGCCCACTGAGAGGGATGGCCCCAAAAGCTCCACCTAGAATAATTCCTATAACCATATGAGTATTGGCGGTCGAGATACAAGAATTCGGAAACGACTACTCACCGACCGAATTGGACAAACCTCCCACCATACCCAACATCATCAGCCCCATCTTACGTCGATGCTTGTCTTCTTCAGAGTCCCCTTGATACATATGACTCGTCAACCTAGAAGCACTAGGGACCGTCATGGCTGCAGCTATTCCCGACACGGCGCGAATCACAAAAAATGCGTATTGGTCTGGCAGAAAGGAGGTGGCGAGGTTTGTGAGGCCACTCAACGCGACGCCAAAAGTGTATATCGGCTTGGCCGAGAAAAGATCGGAGCAAAGACCCGATAGGGGGAGAAATGTAGCAAACGTGAGAGAGTAGGCATTCTGCGTTGATGTCAGAGTAGATAACACAAATCAGGTACTCACAAGGATCCAGGTGGAATCTTGGTACTTGATGCTTAAGTCATCCATGATCGGAGTGGTTAGAGGGTAGATGCCCGACCTTCCCGCTCCATCGAAAAACTACAGTCATCACTCCTCGTCAGCAGTGGTAGAAGCTGGTCGGCATGTTTGTACTGACCTGGACCATGCAGAATAACACTAGCACGATCTTCTTTTTGCCGAGAGTGAGCTGCTGCTGTTCATGGCTATGGGCGATGATTACAATGTCATCGAGCTCTTCTCCCTTCTCTTGCGGTAGAGTGGCAACAGCAGAAGAAATGGTAGGGCTGCCTGTACTGTATGCAGCAGGGAGAATTGTCTCACTGAGTGCTACTGAGTGGGCCTTCTGGTCGTCTTCGCTGGACATATTCTGGCTTGGGGGGATGATGAGAAGAACAATCACGGGACGACTTTTAATGAGGAATGATCACGCCGCATGGGGCCGCATGGGGCCGCATGGGTCGGAATCTTATCAGATAAGAGACCATGTGGTCCACCGCCACAAATGAGCAAAAGTAAGGGTTCGGTGTTCGGGCAAATCCGCGCGGTCTATGTTGGCTGATTAATAGATGCCGCGGCGGAAGTACGTAGATTCTTGGTAGATTCCGCCGCTCCCATATCATTTTGACCTAGTACAAATCATGTATGCATACGAATTTTGCAATAATCCTTTCACCGGTCGGTAGGTGCCAGCTGGGCAACAGCTCCCTCGGCAAGGTTTACCTTCTTGATGCATTGTATATCTCGGTATTCGTGGTCAAACGTGTGAAACCCCCCTGGCGATTTCGGCAGGCTGATGTGGTGATCAGGCCTGCTCTGGGGTTGACAGCTGAAGTTATCACCACGTGTAATTGAGGGTCGAGTCCAAGTACGTGAAGAGGAAGACACAGTTATGCTTGGATGAGGTCTTGGAAGGAGTAGTAGAGGTTAAAGAAGAAGAGGAGGGGAGAGAAGAGAGTCAAGAGTTTGAAGAGTGAATGAGTGACGAGACGATAGGCGGAGCGACCACGTGATACAGCTACGGCACGAAGCGAATAAGGGTACAAGTCGACCAGCGAAGCGTACAAAAAGGCTAAAGACAAAGGTAGAGGAGACGGTCGGAAGAAGGTAAGGGTAGCGAACATGGGCGTGTCAACGTACGTCGGACAGCCTTACTAGAAGAGAGGAACGAGAAAAAGAACAAGTAACGAAAGCGAAGACGGAGGCGAAGATGGAGGCGAAGACGGAGGCGAGCAAGGGTAAAAGCGTCCATGGGGCCACGCTACAGCTGATCCCCCGCCTACTCGGCCCTCTTTGAGCACTGATAGCTCGTGTAATGTTCATTTTGCACCCTTCGTACTCTGAGTGTAGATATTTCAGATAGGGTCTTGCCATATTTTCGAGTATCAGTGTCCAGAACCATCTCATGCACGAACAGGAGGCCGTCAAAGTTGACCTAGAACGCCAGAACGCGACTCGGGAGGTTTTTGGTCGGTTGTCCAGGTGGGCATAACGAGATATCAAATGCATCTAGAAGGGTAAACCTTGCTGAAAGAGTTGTTGCCCCAGCTGGTCCCTATCACCTGTAAAAACAGTATCATGCAATGCGCATGCATACATGATTTGTACTGGTCAAAGTGATATGGGAGCGGCGGAATCGGCCTACCAAATTCGCCTTACTCGAATAAGCCCTGGGGGCGCAGCTGTCGGCGCTGTGACGCTTTGTTGATCCTACTAAACCACAACATCCCTTGCAGTTGAAAAGGGCTCAGCCAAGCAGCATCAGACAACGAAACAAAAAGCAAGAACATGGGCCTAACTGGGAATTGAACCCAGACTACGTCCACTTGAAGTCGCGTGACCGGAAAAATCAATCAATCCCGAAGGACGCGTGCGACGATTACACTATTAGGCCTCGCGATGCTAAGCGAGATGTCCAAGTTGATATAACGCCTTAAGCCCATGTCTTGGGTTCGTCCTCGCATTTTGTGCCCTCGCAATCTGTCCATTCTCACAAATCTGCCCCAGAGCGAGACCTGTATGCACAAGGCCTCGACTAAATTCGATATGATTACATGGTATACAGATGAAATATCCAAAATTGTAAACAGAACCCGATCAGAGGCCAACTAGAGTGCTCTATCGCTTCTTATTGGCCTTCTTGATCCTCTTATCCGCCCTCATCTCCTTCCTCATCCTCGCGTCGACAATCTTGTACTTGCCCTTAACACCCTTTGGTCTACCCTTGACACCCTTGTTCAGACCCTTGGCGACGACAAGCTTTCGGTCCTTGGCCTTCTCCTTGCCCTTTGCGGCCTTGGCCAACATACGCCTGACCTGCCTGGCCTTCTCGCCATCACCAATCTCTTCTGACTCCATGACACCATCCGCCTTCTTCCTGGCCTTGTCCAATCGCGCGGCCGTCTTCATCTTCTTTCTGCCCTTTGCCTCCGCCACCTTTTTGATCGGTCTGGCATCGAGTGCCCTCTGCCTGGCCTTCAAGGCGTCGGCGGCCTCCTTGGTGATAGGAATGTTGGGCTTGTAGTGCTTGCCTTCGTCATCAAGGAACCAGGCAGGAAGCCCGTCCTTGTGGTGGGTAGAGAGACGGTTGAAACCTTGGTCCATAAGCTTGTCGGCGGTGGTTTGTCGGTTGACAAGCTGAGTGGCCAAAGTCACAGCCTCGGCGGTAAGAAGACCCTTGTCTGTGAACCAGTCAGCTCTGCCAAGCCATATATCATGAGTGACATACCTTGAATGACCTTCTTCTTCACCTCGTCCTGATCTTCATCATCCACATCCCATTCGGGCTCCAGATCCTCCGCCTCTTGTGGCACAATTTCAAAGTCGTCACCCTCAAGAGTGGAAGCGTCGTCCTCCATCTCGACATCCTCATCGTCGCTCTCGTCCTCTTCCTCTTCTTCGCCATACTCTTCAGACTCATCATCCTCTTCGGCGTCCAAGGCGGCAAGATCACCAACGTCTTTGAACATGGGCTGGTCGAACCATACTTGCGCTTGCCTACTTCTCTGAGACCTCAGCTCGGCCTCTTGCAAGTTGGTCATAAGACCACCGGACCCAGCAGGCCTGGAAGGCTGCTCGAATTGCACGCTCTTCCTCGCCTTCTTGGCCGAGACAGCCTCCTCGTCAGAGTCTGAATCAGAAGAGTCGCCCTCGCCATACTTGGCCCTCTTGTTGCGGACGATATCCCAACCACCCTCTTCTTCCTCCTCATGCTCGGCCTCACTTCCTTCCTCGTCACTCTTCTCCTGGATACCGTGCCAGGCGTCATAGTTCTTGTCCTTGGCACGGTCCTGCTTGACCTTCCACTTGGCGTCACGCTCCTGCTTGTGCTCGACGTATGTCTCGTAGAGGCCATCGAGCTGGCCCTCAAGAGCGGCAGTCTTGCGCTCGCGTTCTTCGTCAGAATCAAGCAGTTCCTCCTCCTCTTCCTCTTCCTGCTCAGACTCGGATTCGGACTGCATGTCCATACCGGCGTTTTCGGCCAAGCTAGCCAAACCAGCCTTCTTGCCCTGTCTTCGAGCCTCGTTCTCATTCTCTTCAAGGTCAAAGATTTCTTCTTCGCCCTGAAGAGCGAGATCGTGGGTATCGAGGTCTTCGGGAGCGGTCATGTTGAGTTGAAGCTTGAGCAGGTCCTTGGCCTTCTTCTCGTTGGCCCTTTTCTTTTCGCGCTTGGTTTTGGCAGATTTGGCGTCTCGAAGTCGTTGAAGCTATTCAAGAGTTAGTTAGGTATCATAAAGCACCCGAAACACTCACCTCCTCAGAGATCTGCTCCTCCTCATCCATAGGCTCGACCACCACCTCTTCAGTCGCATCCGCAGTCTTGTCCGCCTTGACATCCAGCCCAATCTCCAATCGAAGCGCCAATCGCCACTTCATAAGGGCCTTGAAGTCACCCTTACCAAGCACTTTAAGATCTGAGCAATTGGCCAGGATGTCGGGTGTCGTGTGACGAGATTTGAGCCAGCTGCAACCAATAAGCATGCACCTCACACTGATATGACGCTACTTACCCCTTTTCCTCATCAGTCAAAAACTCCACCTTGTTCATGCCACCCAGCAACAACACGGGATCTTGGCCCTTTATAAAGTCGGCAGCACTGGCGGTATGGTGCAGAGTGTAATCACCCTCCGCATAACCCTCTCTGTGCCTCCTCTTCTTCTCTGGGGCATAGACGTTGGAGTGGGCGTGGTTGTTGGCGGCAAGTCGAGCAGCCGCGGCGGCAGCAGACACAGTGCTGGACGAAGTAGCAGCCACGGAAGGACCGGAAGACGCAGCGGCCGGCTCGGTGATAGAGGTGGGTAGGGAAGTGTAGTCCTTAAAGACATGCTTGGGGTCGAGGAATTTGGGGTCGATGTGCTTGGGGGCAATAAAGTCTCGGCAGACAACAAAGATTTCCGCAGAAACGTTACTATTCCAATGTCAGAAGATCGTCAACACCTAGTATTACTGTGACTCACCGGGAAGAGGGAGGTTTGGTCGCTTCGACAGTCTTGAATAATTGTCCAAAGACCCACATCAAACTGTTGTAATCTTGACTTCGGAAGACCTTTGTCACAAAAGTACCGCCCTTGGCCAAGAACTCTGTCGCTAGCTTCAAACTCTGCAACACCAACTCATTTTGCGTGAAAGCATCTTGCACCCAGGCGGAACCGACGTTGGGAGCACCATCATGCAGCACAAGGTCCGCCTTCCAGTCGTGCATGTGTTGACGAAGGGTCTGTCGGCAGTGAGGGGTGGTAATGTCGGAAACGAATGTCGTGACATGAGGCAATGGCTTGATGGCGTTGAGGTCGACACCAAGGATGAGAGAGCCTTTGGGCATGTACCTCTCGGCGACTTGCAGCCAACCACCTGAGAATTGTTAGCCCTGATTGTGACACGAGCAGAAGGTGGCGGGGTGTAGGACACTGGTACAGAGCAGCACTGTCCCAGCCCGTGTCTCCAAATAGGATACCATCGGACTTACCTGGAGCAGCACACAAATCAATGCAACATTTCGCCTTGGACAAAAGGTCGTATTTTCGGTTCAAATGGACAAGCTTGCTTTGAGAATGGTCAGCCGCGAAAGTGCACGAGGCGGGCAAGAGTGACTTACAAGGCAGAACGAGCTCGATAGCCCTGCTCCTTGGCGAGTCGATAGTACTTATCGAGACGACCTTTACCGGTCTTCTTGTCGTGTTTACCCATGGTGCCAGGGTGTGTCTGGGAGATCGACTGAACAGTCCAAAACCAGTCCGCAACAAGCCACTGCAGCAAAAATGTGAACAAGGCACGGCGGTGGAGGCATCCACCATGCTTTACGTAAGAGTGCGTCGCGTGGACGCGTTCGACGAGACAAACACGGCGGCAAATATCGAGTGCTAGCTTCTCGACCCTTTCCACGCACAGACCGTGTGGTATTCTTTTGCTTTTATTTGCTTTTACAACCACGACCGGCACTACATCCTCCCTGGCAACCTGGCGACAACCCCTGGTATGCCCCGCCATGCCTGCAGACCAACCCGACAACCAACAGACCACCCCGCCCAGGGGTGCTTCCGGACTGGGACGCTCCCCTAGTATATTCTCATACCAGACACGCCTTCTGGGACAGATCGCAAATGGACGGCAGACCCCCCCGCCGGCTACATCAATAGCCAGCTCTCCTGCCTACACGTCACTCGCTTCCATCGCAGGCAGGGACAAGGCTTCACCGCCTTCCACACCTATCCGACGAGCGGTGGCCAAGATGGTCATAGACTCTGACTCTACACCGCCTGCGAAACCTCCACGTCCATCAGTCGGTCATGCTCGCAGTGCAAAGTCTGTCGACTTGGTAAGAGGGCAATGGGAAGCAAAAATAGCAGGCGTCCCTGAACCTTCTCGTCCTCCATCGAGGTCCAGCCGTCTCGGGGAAACTTCCGTCCCCGCTGCCCCTGCACCAGTATTGACGGCGACTGAAAGCCCGGTAGATGCAAAGTCGACAATGCCCCCTCCGCCTGTACCAAATGTCGAAGGCGGATCGAGCAAATTTGGGAGCACCTACATGGCTCGTCGCGCGGCCAAGAGGGCCACCGTAGACGGTGTCAGTGGATTTGATCCCACACGTATACCGTCAGCAGCTTCAACTGCCTCTACATCCACCAGTGATCGTCCCGCATCACCCTCCATCACTTCATCGACCTCGCTTCTTACCCCCAATGCCACGGGTGACAGCTTGGCCCCGTCAGCCAAAGGGCAATCAGTTGAAGAACGACTGGCAATTGCCAAAGCGAACGCTTTGAAGAGGCGACAAGCGCGAGAACAGGCAAAGGCTGGAAGCGCTCAATCCGTTGCCTCTCTTGACGTCGCTCAACCGGCATCAAAGACGCCAGAAACCAAGCAACCTGAAACAATTGCTTCTGGGGCCGATGTGCAAAGTGTCACTGAAACGAGACCCAAGAATTTTGGCAATGGGCATGAAACGTCGAGGCTACCTAAAGCTACTGAAACGGACACCAAAAAAGAGGAGCGTGACGTAAAGCAGGCCGCTGAACCAAGCCCATCAATGCCTTTGGCTTCCAAGATCGCTTCTTCTCCCTTTGCTCAACTTTTTACCCCGCCCTCACGTCCCGCAACACAATCAGAGGCTCCGGTATCCTCCACCTCTTCCAACCCCCAGTCCTCGCTACGTTCCATCGCCACTGCCCCTTCTACCAACCGTTATGTTCCTTCCGGTCTTTCGGTGTCTTCAGCCCCTCCATCGTCTTTTGAACAGCCAAAAAATTCTGGAGGCAAATACGGTTCAATCAGCAAGAGTGATAACCGACGACTGGGGCGCCATCTGCCGAGAATTGCATCTGGCGAAAAGGGGTGGGAGGATGATCAGGCCTCCAAACATGCAAAGGGGGCGTCCGAGGGGAGAAGGGTACCATCGACTTTGGGCAAAAAATTTGTCACTGCGGATAGCGAGGAAGAGAATAAACCTCCTGTCACGAAAGCAGACAAGAAACCAGACGCATCGTCGGTTGCCCCCTCCCCGAAGACTTCCATCTCCCGAGCCACTCGTCCTCCCGACATTGACATCCTCGGGTCGTCTGAAGTTGAGAACCGCTCTTCCGAGACTCGCCCGACCGCCACTCCAACAAAGAGACGCTCTCAGTTCATGCCCTACACTCCAAAGTCTACCATTCCCGACTTTAGTGGCCCCAAATCTCCTCGAGTCGAGCTGAGCGGGGCTGATATGAAGGGACTCATGAGCGCTGTCGGCAGCTTGCCAGCTAGAGGTGATGCAAAAGACGAAGAAGACGGTGTGACTGGTATGTCCAATCGTCTTCGTCTTACAAAGTCTCGCCTTCCGCCCTCTGCCTCATCAGCATCTGTCGCTCCGGCACCGCTTCCTTCCAGACGTCTAATGCAGACCAATTGGATGGACCGTAATCGATTTGCGCTGGGTTCTTACGAGTATCTGTGTCACGTAGGAGAGGCGCAGCAATGGATTGAAGGCTGTTTGGATGAAGAGCTGCAGTTTGGCGTGACCGAGTTGGAAGACGGTTTGAGAGATGGAGTGGTGCTCGCAAAACTCGCAAGGGTGTATGAGGGTGAAGGGGTGGTGAAGAAGATTTGGATGGTCAGTTTGATTTTTCCCTACAGTGTCTGGATGCTGATGGCGATACAGGAATCGAAACATAGATACAAGCAATCAGACAACATCAATTATTTCCTCAACTTTGTTAGAAATGTCGGGATGCCAGAGGTATGTTCAAGGCTTCGTACACAATGATGCTGACCCGCCTCAGACTTTTATTTTTGAACTTACAGACCTTTACGACAAGAAGAACATTCCCAAAGTCATTTTTTGCATCCATATTCTGAGGTAAATTCCAGTCGACTTTGAAATGGCACTGCTCAAACCACGCAGTCACTTACTCGCACGTCTTGGTCGTGCCGAACGCATTGGAGACTTGGTCGGCCAGTTTGAATTTACTAGTACGTATGGCACGTGTGAACAAGGAGCAAGCTAACATCAACTTAGATGAACAAATCGAAGCCACACAAAAGGGACTGAAAGGCGTGGCTATGCCCAATTTCGGAGACGTCCGAAATACACTTGCGAAAGAAGCAAGCTGGGTCCCAGAGGAGCCGGAAGAGACGGAGGAAGAGAGTGAGTCAGACATAGACGGTCGCAGACATGATTAACACGCTTGCAGTTCGGGATCGTCTCCTTCTCGGATGCGAAGACAGTATCGTGAGCCTTCAAAGCTATTTGCGCGGCCATCCTGCTCGCAAGCGTGCTTCCCGAGTTCAAGCGCAGCTCGAGCTTGCCGATCCTATCACTCGAAGACTACAAGCTCGCGCACGAGGCGCGCTTTGCCGCCGTGCTCTGCTCGCTCAGCTGGACGAGCGCAAGCCTCTTCAAGAGATGACCCGTTTCATTCAAGCTGCTGCTAGAGGGAAGATGGTCAAAAAAAAGTGGCAGGCTCGGCTCGGCGAGGTTACGAATGTGGAGAGAAACATACTCGCTGTACAAGCGCAGCTGAGGGGTGTATTGGTCAGATCTCGGAAGCGTGGAGAGGCAAAGCGTTTGCAGCAAACAGGTCGTGCGATCGTAGGGTTACAAGCTCATTGTCGAGGCTGCATGGCCAGATGGGACCGGAAGCTTCACCAGGCTACTGTAGCCCTGCCTCATGTTGTCGAGTCTATTGAGTCGCTCCAAGCTTTGTTGCGAGGCCGCCTTCACAGGCAAAATGCTGCCCGGCAACAGCGCGTCATCTATTCCCAGGTTCCCACATTCCTCTCTCTGCAGAGCCAGCTTCGAGGAGCACTTGTGCGCCGCAAGATTCGTGCTCAGGAGCAGAAGATGGACGATGCTTCTACCTACGTGGTGGCTATCCAAGCAGTGGCTCGCGGGGTTCTTGCCCGACGGAAGAAACGCGCGTTTACTCAAGTCCTTCAACAATCTGCGCCTTCGACAATCTCCTTCCAGACTATGGCACGTGCTCGTCTCGCCAAACAAACCCACAAGAACATGCAAAAGGCTTTGGCGAAAGTCGAAGTTGCAGGGTCGGTCGGTGGCCTCCAAGCCTTTTTGAGAACGAGATTGGCGAAGAAACAGACCACCGAGCAGAAGAAGAAGCTCGAGTTCGTCCAACCGGACGTCATTGGTTTCCAAGCGGTCGCTCGAGGTTATCTCGCTCGGGAAGACTACCAGTTTTGGAGGGATTACCTCCATGACGGCCGGACGATTGGCGCCTTGATCTTCCTTCAGTCTCTCATTCGCGGCTTCAATGCTCGTCGAAGGCTATACATCCGTACTAGCTACGTCCACCACAATGTCGACAAAATCATCAAAGTACAAGCACTCTGGCGAGGTCGACAGCAGCGACTTTCGTACGAAAGACTGATCACTGGTGTCGATGTTGATGTTCCGACCATCCAGAGCTACATGCACCTTCTCGACGACACCGAGTCCGACTTTGCGGATCAGGTACGCATTGAAGCTCTTCGAGGACAAGTGGTCGATTTGATCAGGGAGAATCAAAATTTGGAGACGGAAGTCAAGGACCTGGATACGAAGATTGCTCTGATCATCAACAATCAGATGACCTTCCAGGAACTTGCCCGCGCTAAACGTCGAACAGAACAAGCAACATACCATGCGCCAAACAATGATCCCTTCTCTGGCGGCGTGCATCTCGATCGCACAAATCAACGCAAGCTGGAATTATACGAACAATTGTTCTTCATGCTTCAAACCAAGCCGGAGTATATTTCTAGGCTTTTGAGAGTCCTCGCGAAGGGCGATGGAAGCTCCGACAAAGAGATGAGGCTACTGGAAGGCGTAACAATGATTCTGTTTGCGTTTGGCCATGAGAGGCGGGAAGAGTATCTGTTCCATAAACTTCTCCAAGTAAGCATCTGGGCGTCAGCGAATACATTTGTGAATTAACATTGGTCCCAGCTCGCCGTTCACGAAGAGATCCTTCGCGCCCACACATTACACGACCTCGTGAACTCTCGATTCCCCATCTTGCCTATCACCACCCAGTACACGAAGACTTCACTCACACCTTTCATCCACGACGTCGTCGCACCTCATATCATGAGAATTGTTAGCGCGCCCGAATCAGACTTGTGTTCTGATCCAGTCAAGGTCAGTAGCCGTATTCTCTGGAATTCTTGCTGATGTTCGACAGATCTACATGGACATTATCAATGCAGAGGAGACCCAGAACGGAGTACCATCGGCGCTCCCGAGGGACAGAAATGCCGATCAGATCCTGCAAGAGCATGCTTTGACCCGGGCACTCTTTATAAGAAGTACTTTGTCCCCCAAATCTCTGCAGGGTACTATACTGACCTCGAGATGCTTAGACCTCCAAGAATTGAGGAACTTGACTGATCTCTTGCTGGGGGACATCCTCCAGGCGCACGCCAAGCTGCCGTACACCATCCGCTTACTCGCTCGTGAGGCTTTGCTCGCACTACAGGTATGTCTATATGTCTTGCTGTGGTTCACTGCTGACACTGCTCAAGACCAAATTCCCGGACGCTACCGACGATGATCTCGTCCCGGTAGTCGCCAAGACCGTAATTCTTCCTTTCTTGCTTCCTGCTATCATGTGAGTGCTGGTTTGCCGTGTTGTATGAGCAACGACCTGACCCGAGGCTAGTGCGCCAGAGCAATTCGGCATGGCGCCCGAGGGTGTCGGGGCGGTGGAACGACGTAATCTCTCAGAGCTAGCAAACCTCTTGACTCATGTCGCTGGACAAGAGTACACCAATACACCGGACCAGAGATTGCTTAGGACACCTCTCGAAGCATTCATCACTGCCATGGCAATGCCCTTCCGGGAATGGGTGCTTGACGGTGAGTGCCAAGGGGAGCCAACGCATGTGTGTACTAACGTAACGATCAGTCGCCGATGTCGAACACGCTGAGGGTCATTTCCATGCTCACGAGCTCTTTGAGTCGACGGTGGAAGCCAAACCCATCAAGATCACTCGGTCCGATATCTATGGCACGCTCAGTATTCTCGTTCAGAACCAGGATTACATTGTACGTCCATCGCAATACCTGCCATTCTATGGTCACTTACTGTTCCAAAACAGACATCGGGCAACAAGAAAGACCCCATCATATCTATATTGGAAGAGCTAGAAGGCCCTCCTATCGAATATGACCGAGGCAAGAATACGGTCAACCTGCGCCTCACCAATCGCTTGGCGGGACCTCAGCGTGAGTAACTTCATTTGTTCTGTTATGTGCATGCGGTTGACATATATTAGCCGGGGATCCCGATGCTGCCGCAAAAGCCGATTGGATACAAGCCAAACGACACGTTCTTGCTGTCCTTCGTGTTCAATCTGGCAAGACACTCTTTGATGTCTTGGTCAGTAGCCCTGAAGAAGTCCATGAGCAGATGTGGATTGAAGAGGTGCACCGGGACATCGCGCTGGAGACTGCTCGAAAAGCAAAGCACGGATTGCCACCAACGCCCGTTGAAGCAGAGTACCAAATTGAAAGTATTCGATCGTAAGTCTCTTCCTGACATTTACTTGGCAGGCCCTGATGAATAATATAGAATGCCGTTCCATGAGGTCAAATCTCGTGCCATCGAATTCTGCATGAAGTTGGAGCGGTCTGGACGACTATCGAGGGACGACAATCTCCAAGGTCTGCTCGTGTCTATCGCTTCTGATATTCGACAAAAGCACCATCTACGAAGAATCCGCAAAGACAACTTGGCGGGCATGGTCAAAGCTCATGAAGACATGTCTAAAAAGAAGGCGGAATTTGAGTCTCAGGTGAAGGCGTACCATGATTATATTGACGGAGCCATGGCAGAGCTGCAAGCCAAGGGGTGAGTCACCCATAATCTACATATGACAGTTCTAATGCGTATGGCAGGAAAAAGAAGCCCACATTCATGAGCAAGCAGTACAGACATCAAATGTCTCAACGAAGACAAGGCAAGCAAGCCAAGTTTGGGTCCTACAAATACACTGCTTCTGAACTGTATGAGAAGCGTACGTATTCGCTCTTCACCCGAGGACCTAAACTGACGATTGATCCCCGCAGGCATTCTCCTTTCCGTCAACCAGATCTCCCCTCGTCAATTTGACAAGCTCTTCATTGTGATCTCCTCCAACGAGGTGGGCGTTTTTGATTGTCAACTTCTGTACCCGTCCTCGCCCACCGCGCCTGGTGGATTACTCGGAGAAGACCAGGTCAGGATGGAGGATCTCTTGGGGGCTCAGTATGAGAACAAGGAGAGACTAGACATGTTTGATGGACAAGCAGCGTTCAGCTTGAACATGCTGATACACCAAGTCAACAAGAGTGAGTTCTGTGTCTCGTCTCCCGTCTAAGGCTACATGTGCTGACTCGGAACACTAGAATTTTACAGCTCATAAGCGACAATATGGTGTCAAGGACGTGTTTCATTTTGATGGACTAGGATTGTGGTCATAACGAGTAACGATTAATGCTTGCGCTTTCGGTATTTCATGATGTACGTTTTACGATGACTGACACAAGGGGTATCCCCGTGTACAGCTATAGAGTACAAATGCGATCATTATGTACCAGTACAGTTTACAGTTATCGCGAGAAGGGCCCAACGGTAATTTTCTGATAGATTGAAACCCCATGGCGATTTATGGGTGTGTGTAATCATGGTCCCCTTAGCGTTCGTATTGACCGAGAACGGCGTTGTAACAACATGAGGGGTCAGTGATGGTGCAACTTTGGCTGCGTTCAAGTGGGGGCGCCAGCAAAAGATATATACAGAGTAACACTTGTGGGGGTGCTGCAGGAGATTGTCATGATCTCGCTGGATGAATGTATAGAGGCGCAAAACAATCGACGTGGCGATGTTGAGTGATCATCCCAAAGGCGATGATGATAGTGAATCGCTACTTGCGATGCCCCTTGCTGATCTGCTCACCGGGAAGGTACGACCATCAGGATGCTCACGTGGCACTATATGGGAGTACTTTACCATCATGAGCGTTTGGGACGTCCAGGAGATAGCACCTGCGCGAAGAAGCAGTAGCGGCGTAAGTCTATATTTACATGCACCGAAGCCTACAAGAACTCTATCTCATTTTTTCCCTATGGGGCACGAGCGTCCTATGTAGTCTCAGAGCTCGCAGCGCTGACGCCAGATGCGATATGTCGTGGCGAGAAAAGAGAGGAGCGAAACAGATAGGCGAGGCCTGCGAGCTAAGAGACGCCAAAATTCAGGCAGAATCTCGCCAAAGTGAAAAACCCCTCTCCGGGTTCGTTGGAGTGACATGGTCTTCCGCCTTTGCAAATAACACTCGTAACATATATATAATAGTTTGGAAAGCCAAGCCCACCCAAGAGTCTCTTGCCCCTGTTTACTGTATTTATACACTCAGTCCCTATAGCCGGCGACGCATAATCTAAATCGTTACATCACTCGGTCGACCGCAGCCTCAACCCATGAAAGAGAACAAGGCCGCCGAAAATGCTCTCGGCACCATAGGAGCCGTACTCTGGATGGTGCAGATTGCACCCCAAATCATCAAATCGCACAAGGAAAAGACGACGAAGGGACTCTCGGCATCCTTGATGTTGTAAGTGGATCTCGAAAGAAGGCATCGCTTTGTACTTACAATTGATAGTATCTGGGCACTGGCTTCCCTATTCCTGGGCGCCTACAACGTAGTGCAGGAACTCTCTATCCCATTACAAATTCAACCACAAGCCTTTGGTGCCCTAGCCGCCATCTCATGGTGCCAATGTCTGCACTATGAGCGCGGCTACTCCAAGAAGAGTGTCTGGGCCATCTTCATTGTATTTTGCTGCATCTTTGCCGGATTCGAGGCTGGTAGCGTCTTTGCTCTGCGAGTGAGTTCAATCAATCACTGCTACTCTGACCATCTGCTGACAGTGTTATAGGCAGGATCGCGTAACGGCACAGAGTGGCCCATTACGATGTATGGCTACATCACTGCCGTTCTCCTTGCTGTGGCGTTGCTGTAAGTGGCCCCTCTGTGTACAGTCCAAAGCTCATTGAATATAAGGCCACAGTACTGGGAGATCTATAGGTTCCGAGAGGTTATCGGCATATCGCTCATGTTTATGGCTGTTGATATCCTCGGAGGCATCTTCTCATTTGCTAGTTTGTTCGTCCGTACAGAATTGGATGTGGCCGCTTTTGTGAGTCCAGAATCTCGAGTCTGCACTATGCTTACGCGTCTCAGGTGTCATATGTCCTAGTGGTCATCCTGGACGGTATCGTCGTCCTCCTCTATTTCATCCTCAACCCCATTGCTCGACGTCGGCGCCGAGCGGAAGGAACCGAGGGCGGAAAAGTTGGGGACCCCGAGGCTGGACGGGTATCAACTCCTGCCAACTCGACGGAACCAACGGTGGTCGGCCATGGAATGGTGGTAGACAAAGACGTCGAGAAGGAGCAGGAGGGCCAGCCGCGAGAGCCACCAAGGGAATCATGAGCGGGAAGGAAGTGGAGACTTGTACAATAGTGTTTGGTTAGATCTTGCATATAGAACTGTAGAATTGTCATAGACTGTCGCATGAACGTGTGAGAAGTACAGTTTAAGTTGAGGGAAGCGAGAGAATGTGCTGGACGCGGCGAGAAGAGGAGATCGACGCGTTCAGTGCGACGTCATAACAGGGCCGATTATTTCCTGAATGGGAAAAGCCTCAGCCCACAGCAAAAGCCGTATTCCATCTCTCTCCTTTCTCTTCACCTTCTTCCAGCGCACTGCACCCCGCCCCCTGCCACCGTGAGTCCCCCCCTCCCCCCCCCCTCGCTTCTGCCCCCTGTCTATTTTCCCCGTGCCTCCCTCCCCCTCACGTTCCCACCCGTGTCCGCTGTGGCCGGATCATACCACAGTCTCACAAACGTTCCAGAAGCTGATCAGTGTGCGATCCTCCAATTCCAGTGTCCTCTCCCCAAAAAACTCTTCTCGCCGGACCAAACTTCTATAAAGCACTTGTCAATCGCTCTCCCCACCCAGCAATTTATCGCATTTTACCCTGCACAACAGTCAATCCAACATGGATTCTATGCACCCCGACCCCACCCCCGGTATCCCCCCTTCCCTTCCAGACCTCAAGGCTCAGGTAGCCCGTCTCGAGGCCTCTCACAAGGAGAAGGGCCTGCCTCTCTCTGGGCGCATCATCCACGTCATGCACCATCTCCCAGTCGAGATCGTCCGTGTCGTTCCTGCCGACGCACTGGAGGCTGCAGGCAGCGGTGTCCTCTCCCCGCCCATGACTCCCGAGTTCAAGCCTGAAGACGCCGAGACAACCGTAGAAAGCGCCAAGTGGCGTATCCATGCTAGGACTGCGCACCCCGCGCTGGTCTCTGGTATCAAGAGCCTTTCTGACACCCACGACCAGGTGCTCGTTGCTTGGACGGGAGAGGTCCTGATACAACCCGACAGCACGGCCAGCTCGCAGGCTCCTTCCAACAAAGGGACCTTCCCTTCCATTGCCAGCAGCCTTGCGGCACCCTTCTCGGGAGCCACTGAAGCCCCCCCACCTCCTCCGCAGGATGCCCCCCTGATGGTCTTTGGCGGAGAGTTCAACGACACCGATAGGAAGGAGCTCAAGTCGGAGCTCGACCGGTTCTCTCAGGCGGAGAGCGGAAAGGACAAGTCCGAGAAACTGCAGTACATTCCTGTCTTCCTTCCCCCAGATGTCAGTAAGGGACATTACGAGGGCTTCTGCAAGAAGAGTGAGTACATTCTATCTTGTCTTGTACAGCACTGACTCGCCTTAGCGCTCTGGCCTTTATTCCACTACCTCCTTTGGCTCGACTCTACTGCCACCGTCCCATCGCCCGACCCCTCATGGCTGGCCTACGAGAAGACGAATCAAACATTCGCCCATGCTGTCGCCGAGGTCTACCGGCCTGGAGATCTCATCATCTGTCACGACTACCACCTTCTTCTCGCCCCCAAGATGATTCGGGAGGCTCTTGGCCAGGTCTTCCACCCCAACGTCGGATGGGGTACCGCCCACCCTTCGCCCTCCCACCTCCAAGCCAACAAGAAGTTTGACTGGGACAAGAACGAGGAGACTCCCCTTGCAGACAAGTCCAAGTCTGAAAAGTTGGGAGGATTCTTGAACAACGTCGGTACTGCTTTGGGTCAGCATCTCGGGGCGCTTGAGCACTTCCACGGTCAACCGACCGAAATTATGATTGGCATGTTCATGCACACCCCCTGGCCAAGTTCGGAAATCTTTAGGTGTTTGCCAAGTGAGACATTTCTTCACTAAAATTTCTTCTTGCTAACTGTGATTCAGAGAGAAAGGAAATCCTGGACGGTATGCTCGGTGCCAACCTGGTCTCGTTCCAAACCTACTCTTACTCTCGACACTTTGTCTCCACCTGTATCCGTGTCTGTGGTTACGAATCCACACCCGGTGGTGTGGACGCCAACGGCCAGGTTACTGCTGTTGGCTACTGTCCTATCGGTATCGACATTAAGCGTGTCATTCACGATCGCGACCAGGCCGGTGTCATTCCCAAGATGCAAGCCCTTCGGGCCTTGTACAAGGACAAGAAGATCATTGTCGGTCGCGAGAAGCTTGACGTCGCCAAGGGTGTTTATAACAAACTCCAAGCGTTCGAAAAGTTCTTGCAGGTCTATCCCGAATGGAGAAACAAGGTGGTTCTGATCCAAGTTACCACGCCGGCCTTGTCCGAGAGCCCCAAGCTCGAGCGAATGACTGCCGAGTTGGTCAGCCAGATCAATGGTACTTATGGTAGCTTGGATTTCACTCCCGTGCATCACTAGTCAGTTGTTTCTCGAATACACGTTTCACAGCTGACAAAACGTAGTCACCAAGCGCTCGAGAAGGACGAATACTTTGGCCTCCTCTCTGTCGCCGACTTGGCTCTCATCACCTCTCTCCGAGACGGTATGAACACTACCTCCATGGAATTCATCCTCTGTCAAGACAAGACCGCCAAGTCTCCCCTCGTTCTGTCCGAGTTTATGGGTACCGCCCCGTCCTTTGCTTCTGCGCTCCAAATCAACCCTCACGACCTCTTGGGCGTTGCGCACGCCATCAACAAGGGCTTGAGTATGGGTGAGCAGGAGAAGGTTGAGAGGCACGCCAACTTGTTGGAAGGTGTCCTCGGGCACACTTCCCACACTTGGGCTGCTACCATCCTCAAGCAACTCCTCGAAAATGTTGGCGGGGAGCACACTGCTCACCAAACCCCTGCTTTGGACCTCTCCAAGTTTGTGGACGGGTACAAGAAGGCCAAGAAGCGTCTGTTGCTCTTCGACTATGACGGTACTCTTACCCCTATCGTCAAGGTCCCTGCACACGCTGTGCCTACCGAACAGACCCGAGATGCCATCGCCACTCTTGCCGAAGACCCCAAGAATGTTGTCTACTTGATCTCTGGTCGCGATGGTGATTTCCTTGAGGAGCACTGGGGCCACCTCAAGCGGTTGGGTATGTCTGCCGAACACGGAAGCTTTGTCAAGCGGCCTGGAGAGGATGAATTCATCAACATGACCGAGTCGCTCGATATGAGCTGGATGAGCGAAGTGGAAGAAATCTTCAAGTACTACACCGAGGCAAGTCTGCTGGCATCGTCTCGAAGCTTGACTAACAGAATTCGCAGCGAACCACCGGCAGTACTATTGAAGTCAAGAAGGCGTCCATCACCTGGCATTACAGAAACTCTGACCCTGATTTCGGAGACTTCCAGTGCAAGCAATGTCTTGATCTTTTGGAAAGCTCTCTTGCTCCTAGAAGACCAATTGAGGGTGAGTCGTCTTTGGCATGTGAGGAGGGTGGCACTAATCAAACCATAAAGTCTTGGTTGGCAAAAAGAATCTCGAGGTCCGACCCCTGGCGGTTAACAAGGGTGAAATCGTCAGGAGGTTGATGTACGAGAACCCGGACGCAGACTTGATCTTCTGTGCTGGTGACGACAAGGTGAGTTTACTTGATGAGTATATGTGCATTGCTGACAATTCTGCAGACTGACGAGGACATGTTCCGAGCCCTGCGAACCATTTTCCCTCCCGGTGGCATTGTCGACAACAAGGTCGTCATGAAGCCTCCTGTGGCCGTGACTTCCACTTTGGAACCCGAAGATGTTGCTGAGCTGCCCGATGTCGAGCTCAGCATCCGTCCCAACGATGTGTTTGCTACCGCCGTGGGTCCACCTGCCAAGAAGACTCTTGCCAACTGGCATGTCACTTGCCCCGAAGAGGTCGTCGAGGCTTTGGAGACTATTTTGGATGAGAATGTCATTGGTATCTCTTCTGTATAGAAGAGAGATTCAAATGGTAGATGTGTAAAGATTATCAGGTTCCAGGCAGTTTACCACATTAGCATGTACTCTTTCTATAACTATCTGAGGCGTTGCTGCGTCGTAACTCATAAGGTCGTTATACAATTACATGATCACATCAAACAGACCATCATTCCTCCCTAGCCCTCTTGCTGGAAGAGTCCCCCTGGCTAGCAGCCTCCCCTTCTTCTCCTTCCCCAGTCGCATGGCCGAACGCCATGCCATCCCGGACCGCACGCTCTACTACTTCTCTCAGTCTCTCATCAGGCTCAACACCCTCTGCAGCACACTGCTCCATTATTCTCTGCGCTTCCTCCATCAAGGCCGACGTTTGGGTGGCAGTAAAGTTGTCCAGCGCAAGCTGTGATATGTCGCCCGAAGTGTCGCCCACCTCGGCAGCCTCATCGGTCTGTCCGCCCAGACCTGTCAGGCCATTGAGATAAGCAGCAACCTCCGGAGCTTCCTCCTCCAGCTGCTCCCCAGCGGTCACCCCCTCACTGTTCTTCCACGCCGGATCGGCTCCATTGCCCACGAGGAATTGAGCAACTTCGAGAGATTCAACAACGAAAAGGGGAGTCTCGTTGTCGTCGTCTGTGATGTTGGGGTTGCCACCAGAAGTGAGGAGGTAGGTGAGGAGGGGGATGTGGGCGTAGGATGCGGCGGCATGCCTTGGTAGATCAGCATGGCGGCGGATATGCAAGGAGGGAAGAAGCTCACATGGGGGTGTACGAGTTGGAGTCTTTGTCATTGGGAGTACAACCTTCGTTCTCTATCAGGTACTGAGAATTTGTAAGTGAGTTGAACGTGCATGGCCAAGGGAGACAAGGGCACCTGGACTCTTTCGAGATCGCCATCTGAAGCTGCGACCCAGAGGTTCTTGCCGGATTCTTGGACCATTCTGGATGTATGGGCAATGTGTTGGTGGTTGGGGAAAGGGGAAGTAGGGAATGCAAATATGGAAAGAGATGGAGGAAGATGGCGCAGAGTAGACGCTTGAGAGTTGCTTGAGAGGCCAAAATTCGATCAGCGGTGGAGGTTCGCGGGGGTCCAGCTGGATCCAAACAGCTCGCGTGGACGACGTCTTAGAGATGCAGAGAGGCTGCCCGCAGGCTACAACGGAGACCAGGGAACATGTAAAGGGCATGAAGAGACGCAGGCAACAGGGAGAATAGACATTCGTGATGATCTGAGATACATGGAGCTACTAATTACACTACTCTGCACCGCACCACCTCCCTCTACCGCAGCCGCCCTTGCGCGCACGCTCTCGTTGGCACACCTGATAACAATCGTCAGCTACATTCTCAAGACAGAGTATGCAATTGGGAGAAGAAGAGTGTGTTTCAGTTTTAACCTGGAAACAGCATAGCTAGCCCGAGGGCTCGCTGATGCAGATGGCACTTCCTATATATTGTACTCAGGATAAGTTCATCACTGATGCCGCCGAGAGGCTGGTGGATGGGGAGGAGACTGAAGGCTGGAGCGGAGGAGACGACTTACGATTTTGGGGATGGTATAAAGGCAAAAAGAGAAAAGCGAAAGTTTCGAGTGGTGGTGGTGTGGCTGGGAGCGGCAGTGGCCGCCGACAGTGACACGCCTCCACCGGGCGCGACGAGATGCAACAATGGATGGATGACGGCACTATTGTTATACTCCTCTCCTCGCCTTTCCTCCTCATGGCACACGCCCTCCCACACCAGATACGGGCCCTCGCCCTCCACCCAGCTCCCCCACCCATAGCCCAGGTCACAGCCCACATCGACACACATTTCCCCGACATCGCCTCCCTCGCACCCCGTCCTCCAGCCCATAAACGCAAAAAGAGAGCCATCGCAGATGAGATACAGCACTGGGAGAATAAACAGTCTAGATCACAGACTCAGGTGGGTGTATCATTGAGCTGAAATTGTCCTTACTATTGACTAGCTGGACGAAACGACGACATCATTACCTTCTCTTCTGGAAAGCACCCAAGAGAGCCTGCAGCACCTCTTGCAGTCAGCCCAGGAGCTATCCTTGCAAAGATACAATTTATCAGACAAGCTTTCTGGGCTTGTGGCATCGATTTCCGATGTGGAACAGACGGGAGAGGACAGGCAAACCGTCCTTGGTCAGCTCGAAGCGCTGCAACTGGACCTGGGTAGCCTTGAGGCCGGGTTGACCTGGGTTAGATTGTTGGAAAAAGCTGTCGAACTGAGGTGTGTACAATGAGCCCCCAAATACTGTCCCTCTGACCAAAGAAATTCAGTGAGAGCGTCCTGGATAGCTCAAATCACAAGCCATCTCCCTTGGCGGCGGTCTCGTTTTACCGCGAACTCGACGAACTCGTGTACAACATGCAGTCCAGCCTGCCGAGTGATATAGGCCTTGTAGCCACAGTTATCCAAGTCCGTGATCAAACTTGGGACGGCTTGAAGGAGATCATGTCCCAGTCAGTCCGACCAGGCTATAGAGAGTCGCCCCGCTGACTCTTTGATCAGAAATCTTATTGCTGCCTCGGCAGCAATTGGGTGGCCCAGAAAGGTGATATACGAAGACGTCCCTGCCGATAAGCGGCGTAGCTTTGAGCGCGCATATCAGGACCTTTTATATCTACAAGCAGAGTACGGTTGTCCACAGACTCACAGGAGCACAAGCTGACCGGGGTATAGAAAGGAGGACTTGGACGCAGACACTCCTTCCCGCCCCTCACACTGGTCCTCTGGAGATGGTCTCTACCCACTTCAGGCATTGGTGTCACCCATTGAGCAGCGTTTCAAGTACCACTTCATGGGCAGCAAAGGTACCAACCGAGTCGACAAGCCTGAATGGGCATTTGCCAACATCCTGGACCAGATATTCACCCATCAGGCATTCGTCGCCACTTATCTACAGCCACTGACTGCTCAAGCTGGATATGAGGTCTCAGTGTCCTCCGAGTTCACCCTACTCCTCTTACCGTTGGTCTTGTCGCTCTTGAAAGCGAGAATACCACATATACTCGATCATCCAGCCCTTCTGGCTCACACGGTTTACCAGACGGTCGTTTTTGACGATGCGGTAAAAGACGGAGGATTTGCGCTCGAAGATACAAGCATCTACGAAGACAAGGAGGCGCCGCAGTGGGAGGGTCTGACTGGTGTCATCCTAAGAGAGTCTGATTGGTTTGAAAGATGGCTGATAGGCGAGAAGAACTGTATGTGCTGCTTTTCATGTCAAAATTATGCTCACAGCTGCACAGTCGCCGATAACCGATTACAAGAGATTATATCTTCCCCCGACGCCTGGGTCATCAGCGACGAAAGCCCTGACGAAGAAGACGCCCAGTCAGCTCTGCATCCCACTGTTAGCGCCCGACAGACCAAATCACTTATCGCCCAGATCATTGACCGCTATACTCCCTTGCCCGACCTCGCTTATCGTCTTCCATTTTTCATGACCGTCCAGATGCCCCTTCTCGTTACGTACCATGCGCGCGTATCATCATCCTTGGATGCCTTTGAAACGATTTCATCAGCGTTCGTCAGGGCTGTCCCGGGTGCTTTGGCAGGAAACACCAGAAGTGGTCTCAATATTGACCAAAAGGCGTTGACGAGCGGAAAGGCGGGCGCGGAAAGGCTCTGTAAAGCCTACCTGAGTGCAGAGTGGATCAGCGAGGCTTTGCGTCAGTGGAGTGATAGTGTGGTAAGTTGAGCTACCACACATTGTCCGCCTGCTGACGCATACGTACAGTTCTTCATAGAACTATCTTCTGACCTGCAAAAGTCCACAGCGCTGAAATGGAAGGTCCAATCTGATCCTTTCATCCCCCAAGCGCTTAAGACACCCGCCATTCCAGCTTCCGACGACCACGTGTCTGGGTCAATATTCGAGGTTATCATCGATCGGTACAGTCAGCTGTCATCGCGGGCAGAGGACATGATCGTGAAACTTGTCACAGTGGAGGTTGAGAATGATCTCAAACAACATCTTACCCGGTACGTGTTTGATGATGCATGAGATGCATGGTGCTGATTGAAATTAGGACTTGGGATAACCCACCTTCCACTGAGACCTCTGAACCTTCTCCACACCTCATTGCTGCCCTGACAACCTATACTTCGCACCTCTCCGCGCTTCTTCCCCTGCTTCCGCCCATCGCCTCATCCAGAGTCTACCGTCGGATAGTGCATGATCTCTCTCGACACATCCTTCAGCGCGGTGTCTATTCTGGTTGGAGCAAATTCAGCGAGCAGGGAGGGCGAGATTTCCAGAGCGAGGTCAAGGAATGGCAGGAAGCTACGGCAGAGGCGTTCAGTAGATACGAAAGAGAGGGCAAGGTCGGGGTGGACATACCTTTCCAGCTGCCGTGGGTGAAACTGGAACAGGTAGCCGTGATCCTCTCTTTGCCTACTTCATCGTCAACGGAGGGGAACGTGCCGACCTTTCCGCAGGCGATGGCGGCGGCATGGGCAAATGATGCGAGTGCGCAAGCGTTCGGACAGAGGGTGGGCGTGCAGACTGATAGGACAGAGCTACAAGGTTTGTTGCGCAGAAGAATGGAGTGCTGGAAGTCATAATGTGTTTCCTATGTATGCATCTGCTACTTAAATGTTCCAACATGCAGCCTTCTTTCTAATCTATGCCTCAATACCTGCCTCTTGGTGGTCCACCGTACCTCCTATCTCTATCGTCGTAGTACCCTCGGCCAGTGACAGGCGGCGGTGGTCCTCGGGGAATGGCAGCCGCTTGAGGTGCAGCAGACGCGCCCGGGAATGTCACGCTGTTAAACACCTTGACCATATCATCAGGGCGGAACACAGGACCTGAGAACGATGTAAGCAACGGTCATCAGATGTCGAGATGAATACTTGCCATCAAACGCGCGAGCAGTAGGCAATTGCGCCAAAAACCACGCTAACGGTTTACCAAGACCGCTCCTATCCTTATCGCTAGCGACACTTGGCACTACTGGGGAGCCGTAGACAGGTGCCACAGATCCAAGGCCGTTCAGGGGGCCTGCTGGTGGAAGCTTGGAGGACAACGAAGGCTCTCGCGAGTACCGGCCAGGTGGCCCTCGGTCATCCCGGTCAATCGGGGGCTCGCGGCGGGGAGACTGCCCTCTGTGTCGCTTTGGAGAGCGGCTGGCATAGTCTCCCGAGTCGTGGCGAACGAGATCTTCTGGCGCAGGTCGTTTGTAACTTTCTTGAAGGGCAGGGGCAGGAATGGGAGCAGGGGCGGCAGGCGCCAGATCGGCAGCCGGAGCAATGTGAGGGGCAGGTCGGGGTTGAGCGGATGCTCTCGATGTGCGATTCTGGCTGAAGCCCAGATCTCGTATGGCGATCTGATCAATGCCGTTGTAGCACCACCTTTGCGCAAAGCGCTTGAGTGGAGCATCATTGGGGTAGACTTCTTGGAGATTCTCCTCGAGCTTCTTTGCCGCAGGAAGATCACCATACATGTACTCGTACTGTGCCCAGGCATCGTACAGGGGTCGCGCCTTGTCGGCGGCAATCTTGGTAATTGATCTTCCAAAAAGTGCCCGAGCATCTGCGAATGTATGTCAGCCATGCTCATGCAAATGTCCTTGACAGACGCACTGCTTTCATCATTGATGGAGATGAGGAATCTGAGATATTGGACGACATAATCGACATCCTCGGCAAACAGCTTGAGACCAAGCTCGAAAATCCTGATGGCTACCGCAGAGTCCTTGTTGGAATGATACTCCACCATTGCAGATGCCTCAAAGACATGCCATGTTAGGTGAGGGGACTTTCTAGCTTTGCCAAAGACAGCTCGTGCAGATTTGATACCCTAAGAAGCAAGTCAGTATGATGCTCGACATTGATAAGCAACCTACTTCGGCCCGTCGAGCAAATCGCATGTACATGTTCCACACCACGCTGATTCCAACCATGAGTTCATCCACATCTCGACCTCTTCTCTCTGCGACTAGTCGACCTCGGTTCTCTCGCTCGTCGACCAATTTCTGAATTTCCTGCAAATCGTTTCCATCCATGTCTACATCGCCGGCAGCAGCAGCAGACTGGGCTTTTTC